ATCGGCGCTTTTGTCAGCTGGCTTTCGTAATAGCAAGGGTAGCAGAAATACTAGTACTCCAGACAACGCCGACGTTTCCACGGAGTCCGGATTTATTGACGCTGGTGCGGCGCTGTCGGAACCTACGACATGTAGTTTACCTAAGGGCCGGAAGGGAGAAGACGAGAAGGACGATGAGGGGGTCTTAGAGAGTTCGAACGAAAAGCAGCCCCAGCATGTACAACCAAAGCCGCGCGCACCTCGCCAACGACGAGAGAACGCATATGCGGGGATCACGCCAGCTGACGGCAGCCCCGCATCAGCTCAACCAGACAGCGTCTCTGACAGGAATAGGCAAGTAACCCTCTTTGGACCCAGTGGGAAACGAATTCAACAGTCAGAGGAACCCCATGAGACTGACCAAACGCTCTCTGGTAGTCAGGATGGCCTACGGTCTGGACAAAGGGGTCTTAAACTCTCTGACCTGATGCTCTCTGGGGCCAGCTTGGCACCCTACTCCGTAAACCAGCACGTTGAGCTTCATACCTCTCCTCGAATGAATTCTATGGCAGGACAGTTAATGGCAAAAGACAACCTTTTCTCCGATTCTCTGTCTTCTATTAGCGAGGAGAGGTCGCAAAATCTGGACCTGTCAGCGGAGCATCCGGGAGAACCCCGAGCCAGTGACCGGAAGTCCTCGTCTGCTAAAGGACCACCTGGGGAAGGGGACTACGCGGCTAGAGAACGCAGTTCGAATGCCAGCAGTTCTGCCCAAAGTTCTCTGCCACACCTTTCGGGCGAATCGGGAGCTGATGTTTTTGGTCCGCCAGACATGTTACCTCTGTTTGTTGTCTCCGAAGAGACTGGCCAGCATTCAGGCAATGAAAAACGAAAGCCGATAGTCGGTAACTCAGAGTGGAGTCTAGAGGACATTGAGAGCCTGAGTCAGGTATCAAGTGAACCGAGTAAGTCCCCGTTGTCTCTCTCTTTCTCTTTCCGTCTCGCATGCTTCTTGTTTCTCTCTTTCTGACTGTTTGCATGCATTCAGTGTTTATTTGCACCCTGTTAAGTGTCATCATAGGAAAAGGTAGATGTGATTCTTGATTTTTTTTCAGTGTGAAATGTCTCATACTGCTAGAGAATGCATGATAACCCACACATGCAACTTAAGTTTCTTTTTATCCCGAGCTGAAATCATATACCACTTTTCAAGAGTAGGTAGACGTGATTGCTAACTCCAACTTACTCATTCAGCCCTTAAAACGGCAGTAGTCCCTGCAACGCTGTCTCTGGCAGTATAATCTCATGTTTAAATACGTAGCTATGCCAAGATATGTTTTCGGATGGTTTAAAGTTTGCAACCTTTGTTCTACTAGGTCTTTTAGGCCCTTTGAGATTTGTGATTGGTCAAGATAGGCTTGATTGCAGTTTTCTTTTGTCACAACTTGATCGACAATACTCTTCTAAAATTTACTCAGTTGCCCTCTTTGTCTTCCAGTGAATATTATATGCAAGATAAACGTTTCTTGAGATATTTAAGAGAGAGATAATTGTTTTTTGTTTTATTCTGACAAAATCTCTTTTATTTTTGAA